CGGTGCGATACGTCATAGAAAATGCGTTTGTTGGGTAGTTCACTTTCTTATTAGATACGTTGTGGTCTTGTGTATTTCTCACAGTGCTTTCTAGTTAGCACTTTTATCAATATTATTATCATCGTTGTCATCATCACACGTGCTCTTCTGTCTGTCTGTCTTCTCTCTCTCTCTCTCTCTCTCTCTCTCTCTCTCTCTCTCTCTCTCTCTCTCTCTCTCTCTCTCTCTCTCTCTCTCTCTCTCTCTCTCTCTCTCACACACACACATACACACAAATAAAGCAGATATGCAACACAGGAAAAATCCAGCGCCTTAAAAACGTGAAAGTCGGAATCAGTGCAATTCATGTCACTTTCCCGTACCCTGAAACAATACAGAAACGCCAGGGTTCACTTTCGTTCCTGAATTTCTTAAGAATAGGAACCGAGGACAAATTCTTGGCAGCTGACTTGACCTCATTGTTGATAATGTTCGGCAAATCGATGTTGGTTCATTAGTTACTTGATCTCTTAAGCTGCGAGGGAAAAAATATTCCTTTTTCTTTTATTTCTGCGGTAGAAGTAAATGGTCTGCGGATTTTTTCCCTTTCTTTTCTTTTTTTTCTTCGTCTTTTTCTTATTCTTATTCTTCGCTAAGTACCAATAAATTGTTGTAATGTCTGATGATTATAAAACGAAAGATATTTGTCGGAGAAATATATGATGTAACAGGAAATAAAACGCATACCCAAAAAATGCAGGAAAACGCAAAAAGAAAGAAAAAAAAGAAAGAAAGAAAGAAAGAAAAAAGATGTTTGTCGAGTCGTAACGAGAAAGAGAGAAAAAAAAAATACTCACTTTTTCTAGACAGGAACCCGAATCTGCATTTATCCTAAAGGAAAATTGTTGCACATTTTTTCTTCAAAAGTATATATTAGGATTTAGAAGGAGATTTTAGTGAGCTGAAATTAACCGAGAATAAAAATACAGTAGAAAGAACTTCTCAAGAAAGCAATTTATAGAGATACGATTTAGATTTTCTGTCCACCGTTGCATAATTTATTGTTTTTCGCTCTTTAAACCGTGAAATACATAGAATAATGAGGCATTTGTTAGTTTATATAAACACACACTTTGAGTGTGTGTGTGTGTGTGTGTGTGTGTGCGAGAGAGAAAGAAGTATACATATATATATATATATATATATATATATATATATATATATATATATATATATATATATATATATATATATGTAATATAATATATATAATCATAATAATAATATATATATATATATATTATATAATATATATAATTATATTATATATATTATATATATATATATATATATATATATATATTATATATATATAATATATATATATATATATATATATATATATATATATATATACATATATATATATATATATATATATATATATATATATATATATATATATATATATATTATATATATATATATATATATGTATATTATATATACATATACATACATAATATATATATATATATATTATATATATATATATATATATATATATATATATATGTATATTATATATATATATATATATATATTATATATATATATATATATATATATATATATTTATATTTATATTATATAATATATATATTATATATATATATATAATATATATTTATATTATTATAGTATTTATATATATTTATATATATGTGTGTATATATACATACACACCTTCATAAGAACCTTTCCTACTGCAGCCAGCCTTTCTCCCTCCTGTCACCCCCCCCCCCTTTCCACGCGCTATCACCCCGTATCCCAACCCTATCAATTATACACAACACCTCCCTTAGCCGAGCCCAGTAAACCTCCCCTTTGCCACCTATTTACCCAATTTCAACCCTGCTAACTCCGTTTCGAACTTGCACCCCTCTTCTATTCTAACATTGCTTTCACTGGCAATCTTTACCCCAACCTTACAATTCCTCTTTCCCACCCCTACAACCTCTTTCCCCTATTAAACCCCCTTTTCCCTTCCACTAACCTTCCTTCCCTACCTAATGACCCTTTTCCCCCTCAACAACCCTTTTCCCACCCATTAACCCCTCTTTTCCACTCCTATAACTTCTTCTTTCCCCTGTCACCCCTTTCTACCCTTCTCTCTTTCCCTCAACTAACCTTCTTTTCCCTCCATAAGCCTCCTTTTCCCCTTTCAACCCCTTTTCCCTACGAATCTTCTTTCCAACCAACTAACCTTTTTAGACCCCCCCCTTTTTCACCTCCCACCCCTTCCCCACTCAACTCCCTTTCACGCCCCCTACAACACCTTCCTTCATACCTACCACAACTCCTTTCCCACCTCTCTTTCCCCACCGCTTCTCCAACACCCCTTTCCCACACCCTCTTTCTCACACTCCTAAAACCCTTCTTCTTCCCCACCCCTATCAACCCCACAAATCCCCCTTCCACCCCTCCCCCACCCCTAAAGCCTCTTACCAACCATCTCTTC